TCAGAAAACCAAATTTCATATTATTTTTATATAAAGTACTGGATTTACAAAAAGTTTGGCCAATATTATTGTATCATTTGATTTGAATATACAATCTGAATTGTAACTTATAAATCACCAAAATTTGATCTCAGAAACTAAATGTCATGTGTTCAAAATTACAATTACATAAAAAATTGATTTATAGAATCTTACACAAAATTCCATAAAATTACGCAAAATTCCAGTAATTTTACATCCCCAGGTGGGTCTAACAGCTGGCTATAACAAAGCTGAGTCATATTTTAGTTATAGCTATTATCATAATTCCTGGGACCAGAGCACAAAATCTACTATAAAATACTGGAGATTCCGGTAAATTAAAAAAAATTCTGGCGCAGTTTTTTGATAGTTGGAAATTTTCCATTGTTCAAGAATTTTGGCACTTTCTTATAGATCTTAAATTCCGTTTAATAAAAAGATCGCTAGAAAAATATCAGGATATGTTGTTATATTAGAAAGTTGGGTTCCCTTTAGTACCTGAATGCCGCAGTATACATGCTCTAAAGGTGTATGATCTGCAAAACAATATGTAAGTTAAAGGCGCAGAATATATCGTGTCTCTTAATTGTCAGCAAAATTAATCAAGTGGTTCACTTAGAAGCAAGTTGAAATTAAAAGATGTATTAGCTTAGAATTGAAAAGATCCAACAGAAAGAATGGAGTAGAAATAGATACTTCCTGCAAAACATATATAAAAGGCCCTTACTTTTGCCTTACTTTAGCTTAGAACTCCTTAGTATAGAATTCTCACTCATAGAAATAGTTATTTTTTTATCTTCTTTATATTATTTAGTTACTTTATCAGTTAGATAAAGCAACCATGTCTTCATACATGTTAAATTTCATTATCTATTAATAAAAATACTTTTGAAAGTTATCATGTAACCACGTGACTTGAATATCCATTGTTAATATTATTGTTGTAAAGCATTGAATACAACTTTATATATCTTCATATATATTCGAGTTGTGCCTCTTTCGATAAAAGCCTTATAAATCCTTTTTCATAAAGTCATAGTAAAGACTTTACTATTTACCTGCTATATCACCTTGGTTGTGGTTTTGTAGACTACAACGTCTCCATCTCTTGAACTACTTGAAGAGGTTAGTTTGGGTATAACATTTTTGGTAATGACTGTGAGATTGAATTCTCTAGTTATTTAAATCGTGGGATCAAATTTTCTACAAAAGAATTATTAAAAAAAAAAGAACTGCACAGATTTAGTGCATGAATTTTAGCTTAACCAAGAACACAGGACTGATCGATTATTTAACCCTATATTCACATAACAAAGTAGACTCCTGCGAACTTTGTTATCCCCTTTCTAAAAAAATATCCCAAACCTTTTATCAATTTGCAAATTGGTATACCCCCACTTATTTTGCAAAACTATATACATTAAAAATGTATAGTTATTTTAATGAACTAGAAAACGTGTACTAGCAGCCGCAGTTCTCGTGTTGCCGAAATTCAATAACAAAGTTAATATTTAGTATAACATACACGCAAATCCCAGGAAATTTCCTAGAAATACACCAAGTAATAACAAACATAGCTTTATACACCCAGTGCTTTCAAACAGACCCATTCACCCTTATTACCACAAACACTAATACAGTCAATATGTCTACTCCTTCGGCTAAAGACGTACTCGATTATCTTAAGAATAATCAAAAAGAAAGTATTTTAATCTGCGTCGATTTTTTCAAAAGAAATGGCTTCCAAGACTCTCTAACCTGAATAGAAAACTTTGAAAAAGCAGCCGCTGCTAATAACTGGAATAAAAAAAGAATGAGACAGATCCTGTCAGTTTTCATGAAAGATGCTGCAGATGATTGGCAGCTGTCACATTATAATAACCATAAGCCGACCGCTGACTCAGCAGCAAACTGGGACGCTACAAAGAAAGCGTTCAAAAAACACTTTTGTAACCAATATTAGAAAAACATTTGGAGACAATAAATAAATACTCTAAAACAATCGTCAGAAGAATCGGTGGATGCTTACCATGGTCGTTTTAGGAAAATAGTAGACAGAGTAGGACTTGACACTGCTTTGTCGGCTGATGATTAACTCTACTACTTCAAAAAGGGCCTAAGGTCAGATATGTTACCTATAATATTAATAAATAAACCTACCATGGTCGATGCAACCTTAGAGTTAGCCAGGCATCACAAGCACGGGACAGACTTCGCCTACAACACCAATCCCAGTCAACCTTCTGGATCTAAGAACTATAAAAAACAGATAGAGCAATTAACAAAGCAGATGGAGCAGATGAGCCTCAATTATGCTACTATCGCTTTGGCATTGTTAGCACAAGTTGAAAAAAAGGATACATTTAAAACATCTTTATCTTCTCAAGAAAAGAAGAAGAATGTTACTTGTTTTAGATACGGCGAAGTAGGACACTTCGCAAACAAGTGTATGTCAGAAAAGCCAAAGAAAATGACCTATCAAATACTAAAGAAGCCTAATAATGACAATAACAGCAAAAATATTAATCTCATAGACTTAGTCATGGATGATAAGGTAGAAGAAGTATATATAAACCACCCTCAGCTTTATAGTACTAATAGAAAGAACCAAAAAGAAAAACAAAAACAAGTTAAGACTAAAAAAGAGCAAAGTCTATCAATTAAAGCATCTACGGACCCGGTGCAAGACATAGAAGACCCCATGAAGTTTGAAAACACTCCAGTAAAAAAGATCATGAAGAAGAGATTGCTCTCTGAAGTAGACAAGCTCAAGCCCTATAATATAGCAGAAGACTTATTGTCTATGCCCGCCAGAGCCACGTTAGAACAACTTTTACAGTATCCTAACTAAAGACAAAACTTGGCAAGAATACTTAGGTGAAAGAAGGCCCCAAACACGAAAGCCAACTTAGTAATAGAGGAAGAAAATCGCAAGACTATTGCTATGAGGTGTCATGTTCACATTAAAAGAATCTCATAGTGGCTATTCTAAACTCTGGTGCTGCGGTAAGCATCATCACTAAAAAATTAATGGAAAAATTAGAGCTAAACATAAATAGGGCATCAAAAACTGTTGTCATAACAGCTAATAGTAATAGAACTAAGGCCCTAGGAATAATTAGCGAAGTGAAAATAGTTTTACAGGACCTGATTATACCTATAGACCTCCAAGTTATAGATTCACAGGAGGAGACCTTATTATTAGACACAGACTGGTTCGATAAGTCACGTGCAAAGCTCGATTTTGACAATAATACCTTAATTGTCAAATATTTAGGCAGACAAGTTACAGTAAACGCAACGTATATAAGTAGAAATAGCTATAAGCAAGAGCTAGAAGAATTTACCAACAAAGAAGACTGTATAGATAAACTAGAACAAGACAATGAAGTTCATCAAGCCTTCTATAGTGATCTATCCTCTGAAGAAAAAGAAGACCTATATTATAATCTATAGACAGAGGATAATCTGGCAGTATACTTAACAGAAATAGAAACAAAACTACAAAAAAAGGATACAAGAGCGTTTGAAGTGAACCCAAATTTCAATAATCAACAATTACAACAAGCTAAGGACTTGTTGATAAAGAATGCGAAAGTTTTCACAAAGAAAATTAGTAAGAATGAGCAAACAGTTGGTCTAGAACAGACCAATCTAGTGTGCCATGAGATAGAGACAGGGAATACTAAACCCATAAAACAACACCCTTATATGGTGGCACATAACAAACAAGAATTTCTGAAGGACGAAATTTTTGCTATAGAAGAGCAAGGCATTATATTTCTGATTAAAAGCCCCTAGACATCCCCGGTGGTCCTAGTACCTAAGAGAAATGGAAAAAAAAGAATCTGTATTGATTACTATAAATTAAATACGGTTACTGAAAAAGACATATATCTCTTACCAAAGATAAATGAAGTTCTATCAGAATTCGAGAGTGCCAAGTAGTTTACCAGCTTGGACTTGGCCAGTGGATACTAGCAGGTAGCCATAAAAGAAGAAGACAAAAAGAAAACAGCGTTCATTACCAAATTCGGCACTTACGTGTTTAACATAATGCTATTTGGCTTATATAACACGCCCTCTATATTCCAAAGGTTAATGAACGATATTCTCAACCCTTTTATCAACAAATTCGTTGTTGTTTACCTAGACGACATTGTCATTTACTCCAAAACATTCCAAAAGCATGTGGAACACTTGCAGCAGGTCTTCGCAAAGATTAGAGAGGCCAACCTAAAATGTAACTTGGAAAAATGCTCGTTTTTTTTAAACAAAATTAAATTTTTAGGGCACATAGTTAGTGACCAAGGGATTTATCTGAACAAGGAAAAATTGAACAAAATAAAAGAATTCCCCACACCTATTAATATAAGACAGATACGATCATTTCTAGGCCTTGTATCATATTATAGAAAATTCATTAAGAGATTTTCAAAAATAGCCAAACCCCTAAATAAACTGCTAAACAGAGATGAACCCTACATATAAACGAAAAGTCAAGAGGAGGCTTTTCAAACTTTAAAAAAATGCCTGATTACAGCCCTAATATTAAGGTACCCAGATTATAATAGACCTTTTTACTTACACACAGATGCATCAACCTCTGGGTTAGGTTAGGTGCTGTTCTAGCACAATTAGATGAAAGTAATAGAGAATACATCATTGCTTATGCTAGTAGAAGCATAAGTAAGACGGAAAAGAATTATTCAATTCCCGAGTTAGAGTGCTTAGCCGTAATTTGGGCAGTTGAGCACTTTCATCAATATTTGGGAGCAAAACCATTTTACCTGATAACAGACCACTCGGCTCTTCAATGGCTAAGAACTTTGGAGCTAAAGGGGAAACGAGCTCAATAGATAATATGCCTGGAGCCATACAATTTTAAAGTTATACATTGTCCCGGCCGAAAGCACAGTAATGCCGATGCCCTGTCAAGAATGTACACTCAGAAAAGAGAAGAAAAACAAGAAGTGTATATGTTAGATACCCAAGATAATGATTCTGTGAAGAGTGAAATCATAGTAAAATTTTTGGAAAACCATTTCGTACCTAGTAATGATGAAAAGGAAGTTCCTAGAAAGAAATCGAAATTACAGGAATCAATTAAACAGGTTGTTAGTAGCTCAGTTAAAGAAAGCCGTAGAGAAGTGATAAAAAAGACCTTAAGCTATAATCTACCTAAAGGTTTGACTGAGTACCTCTGTCTATATGAGGATGTTAGATTTACTCAAAAGTGAATTTACTACGAACAACAACACTGTACATGGTACTATATCGAGCACATCAGTGATCGATTAAAACAAAAAACCAAAGGAAAACACCTAACAAGGGACTGGAAAGAACCAACAGCCCAATGTTGGTGTGACAATAAATTATACTTACTATCAGATGAGTGTAGCAAGTGTCATAGTGATCTAAAATTATAGATTACTCTAAAGAAATACCCTATTGATGAAATCACCAAATGTTACTGGGCAACCGCAAAGGATGAAGAATTAGTTGATTATTACTACGAGGACAATTATACGTGGATTAATAAAAAATCAACAAGTAATTTTACTTGGAATACTTTCAACCTAATAGATGATACTCCAATAGAATTATGGGAAAGTGACAGCATTAGCGAAAACTTATTGCTGGACTTCACTGATGAAAATGAAGGAAACACAATACTGTTTCCAACAGATCTAAATAATTTCTCTTGGTGGTTAAAACTATTAGAAAGACCATCTGAACATTATTATAGAGAATTCAACAATTTTTCAGATACTTATCTCTGTAATTCTATTTGGTGGAAGACTGCCAATCCAATTAGATACCTTTAAGGTACCATTCAAACCTTGAAATACCCGTTCTCAAAAGATGAAAAACTTTGCAGGTCAGTCCTTGCTACCATCATTACAACTTCCAGAACTTTACAAACCAGACGTAAAACTAGACAAAGTAAATAACAATCAGTAACTATATATATAATCGTTAAAAAAAATGGATCTGATTCGATACTAGCAAATCAAACAATACTTGAAAATAGCACAGTATCCGCCTCAATTTAGTACTCAACAGAGAAAACAATTAAAATCTCAAAGCAGATTCTATATTATAAACAATCATCTACTTTACAAGAGAGATAGAAAAAAGCAGACAAAGAATCAAATGTTAAAAGTAATACAACAACATGAAGTGGAATCAATTTTATATATTACCCACACGCACCCATTAGGAGCTCATCTCAGAATGAAGAAGACTCTAGAAAAGATCAAGAATCGTTACTATTGGCCTCAGATATACAACTATGTGAAGGAATATATCAAGACCTGTGATGTATGCCAAAGACGTGGAAAATATAGGATTCGCGGCCCCTTACAACCCATACCCATCGAAGCACCATTTCACAAAATTGGCCTTAATTTTGTAGGACCACTAGACCTAACTGCAAATGGAAATAAATACATTATTGTGGCAGTTGATTATATAACCAAATGGCCTGAAGCAAAAGCAGTGCCTGCTGCTAATGCTCAACAGACCGCACGATTCATCTTTGATGAAATCGTTTGTAGGCATGGATGCTCTACTTACTTGATATCCAATAGAGGCCTACATTTCAATAACGAAGTGATTCGCTTCTTAGTAAGAAATTTTGAAATAAAGCAATACCATACCACCCATAGACCAATGGGTTGGTAGAAAAGTACAACTGTACCTTATGCGAGTTGTTAGCGAAATTAATCAAACAAGAGCAAGAGTATGACGTTTTTATACCTTTGGTACTCTACGCTTATAGTACCAGCAAACAGTTCATGACAAGATTTACTCTATTCTACTTGACTTATGGAAGAGAAGCATGGTTTCCAAACTTCAAGGAAGAAAATGACATACAAGAAAATATGGTCGACTGATTAACCACGATCGTTAATGACCTACCTAATAAAAGAGAAGTTACGAAAATGAATGTTAGAAAAGCCCAAAAAAGGCAAAAGTTTTACTGTGACAAAAAGCTTAAACAAGTGCTTAGAATATTCCAGAATGGAGAAAAGGTACTTTTATTTAACGCTGCTCAGATAGGGCGTCATACTGAAAAGTTCTTACCATGGTGGCTGGGACCTTTTGTCATATATAATCATGTTGCACAAGATGTGTACCGATTACGTACATTACAAGGTCAAATTCTCAATGTACCACAGAATGCTCTTCTCCTAAAACGATACTATGAAAGATCTATTTAATGCGAATGCATTAAATTAGTAAATTCAAAAAAAATTACTGCAATTGCTCTTTTGAAAGTATTTACTATGGGTCATTAGCCTTATATGCCAAGATTTGGGGTGGTATCATCGGCTGATACTGGTGATACCAATAGTGCATTTATACTTGGTGGCTGTTAACTACAACCGGAAAGAATTATTATAGTATTTTGACTCATAGAGCTCATCATTAGTTGGGAAGAAATTGTTACATTAGAAAGTCAGGTTCTCTCTAGTACCTGAATGCTGCAGTATGCATGCTCTAAAGGTGCATGATCTGCAAAACAATGTGTAAGTTAAAGGCGCAAAATACATCATGTCTCTTAATTGTTAGCAAAACTAATCAAGTGGTTCGCTTAGAAGCAAGTTGAAATTAAAAGATGTATTAGCTTAGAATTGAAAAGAACCAACAGAAAAAATGGAGTAGAAATAGATACTTCCTGCAAAACATATATAAAAGGCCCTTACTTTCACCTTACTTTAGCTTAGAACTCCTTAGTATAGAATTCTCACCCATAGAAATAGTTATTTTCTTATCTTCTTTATATTATTTAGTTACTTTATTGGTTAGATAAAGCAACTATGTCTTCATACATATTAAATTTCATTATCTATTAATAAAAATACTTTTGAAAGTTATTACGTAACCACGTAACTTGAACGTCCATTGTTAACATTATTGTTGTAAAGCATTGAATACAACCTTATATATCTTCATATATATTCGAGTTGTGCCTCTTTTAATAAAAGCCTTATAAATCCTTTTTCATAAAGTCATAGTAAAGACTTTACGGGTCTGATATAGAATAACGGGTCTATCATATTCAAATATCACATTTGCAGATCATCACATACTAGAACGTGTAACAGAAAAAGATCATCGTCGCGTACGTAAACAATATTACACAAATTACTATAAATATTTATTTAAAATCAAGATGATCTTTTTTTTGTAAACAACAATTTTTATTCTCACGAACGTTAGTATTTTTTCTTTATTTTTTTTTAATATATTAGATATACATGATTATTTGGTCTACCGGTGGCAAAGAACAATATTTTTCGTTCTCTCCTTTGGCAACTAGG